TGGAGTGGTGGGGGTGGGAAGGATGGGGTGGCTGGGTGATAGACATTGGGGAGGGTATGTGCTATGGTGAGCACTGTGAATTGTGTAAGACTGTTGAATCACAGACCTGTATCCCTGAAACAAATAATACATTATATGTTAAAAAAAAGAAACATATAGTAGGAAGGGAAAAATGAAGGGGGGAAAATCGGAGCGGGAGACAAACCATGAGACACTATGGACTCTGAGAAACAAACTGAGGGTTCTAGAGGAGAGGGGTGTGGGGGGATGGGTTAGCCTGGTGGTGGGTATTAAAGAAGGCACGTATTGAATGGAGCACAGGGTTTTATACGCACACAATGAATCATGGAACACTATTATCAAAAACTAATAATGTAACGTATGGTGATTAACATAACATAATTAAAAAAAAGAGTATTGTGCCTGGGGCGCCTGGGTGGCTCAGTCGTTAAGAGTATTGTGCCTATGGAACAAAGAATGAATTGGAAATTCACAAGAAGAGAAATGGGAAGACGGTTAGGAGCCTATGGTGTGATGGCAGTCCCAACTACATGTTTGTTCATTAGTATGTATATTCAAAAATATGTATACACATGCATAGGTACTGTATATCTGTACACATATGTGTGGTGTGTACATATATAAACATACACATGTATAGAAAAACACATAGAAAAATGTCTGGAAATATATATATAAAAAGTTGATGGCAGTTATTTCTAGAGTGGGGAATATTATCAAGGATAGAGTAAGGGTGGTATTAAAGTGACACTTTCAATTTTTACTCCACATATTTCCATAATATCTGATTTCTTTATAACGAGAAAGTATTCATATACTTCTTGTAAAATTAAAACAAAAGAACACAAAAAACAAGAGTCTCTTCCTAAGGCAAATCAATTCTTCTGACATAAAGAAAATCATCATGGTTCAGGAGAACTAGAAATTTATAGTCACATTTCATTTAACTGTTACAGACAGGGGCGCCTGGGTGGCTCAGTCGGTTAAGCTACTGACTCTTAGTTTCAGGTCAGGTCGTAATCTCAGTCAGGGTGGTAGAATCAAGCCCCGCATCAGGCTCTTTACTCAGGGCAGAATCTGGTCGGGATTCTCTGCCCCGCCCTCTCCTTCCCTGTTCTTTCACTTTCATTCATTACATACATACATACATAAATAAATAAATGTTACACACAGAATCAATCCCCTTATATTTTCAAGATTTCCAGTCTACTGCTGGAATCTATTCAAAGTCAGTAATTAGAAATGCAGACAAAAATTTATGAACATTGATATGAATTATAGCATTTTTATAACCACAGAAAACTATAAACAATCTAAGCATTCACTATCAGGGAAATGATTAAAAAAGGTCATGGTACAGAGGCACCTGGGTGGCTCAGTTGGTTAGATGCCCGACTTGATTTTGGCTAGGGTCATGATCTCAGGGTGATGGGATCGAGCCTGCCTGGAGCCCCACGCTGGTCTGCACGCCAGGGGTGGAGCCTGCTTGGGATTCTCTCTGTCTCTCTCCCTCTTCTTTTGCCCCTCCCCCCTGCGCATGCACACTCTCTCTCAATAAATAAATAAAATCTTTAAAAACAAGTCATGGTACATTTTCATGTCAATTTAATATAGATTTTAAAAATATTTTCAAAGGAGTTTAAATAGTTAGAAATGATTACAAGTGATAAAAAGTAGGTTAAAAAACATATATATAGAATGACACCAAATACATACATATATGAATATATACACAAAGTCATAGAATAAATTATGGTATCTCTAATTGTGAGACCTTTGGGTTATTTTATTTTCCAAATTGTAGTTGTCTGTATATATTTTCCAAGTTTTCTATATTGAGTGGAAGTCACTTTTATTATTTAATTTTTAGAAATAATAATAAGGAAATCACTAATGCTTTCTGAGAGCAATTGGGGATATTTTCTACAGGAACACTGTTTTTGAAGTATAGTTTGATCATAAAGCAGAAATCTGCTAAGGTAGGATTTTAAGCAATAAAGGGAGCTGGGGAACTAGGCAACAGAGCTATCTGTGAATCTAGAATAGAGTTCTATGACCCATATCAGTACCTCTTCTACACATGTGGTAATCATTTCCCAAGTCTGGGGATCTAGTATAAAATACTGGTTGGTTAAAAGCTTAGGCTCTTGGATCCATCTAGCTGAGTTCCAAAACTGCCCCTCTCACTTCCTGACTGTATACTAATTTCTCTAAGCTTCAGTTTCTGAAGCTATGAGCACTTCTTCACCCTAAGCTGTTTTCAACATCATCAGTAATAGGCTTATTATCCTTCATTCACAAAGTAATTTGTATTTATGTCTGGTCTCTCTTACTTCAGTGTCTGGCAACTCATCTCTAGCTATGGCCCATGCTTTCATTCCTGTTCACAAAGTCCCCAATGTCTTAGTGATGGGAATGCATTTAATACTTTCTAATACATTCTTAGTAGTCTCCTGAGGGCATTAGTTGGCTCTGAGTAAAATGGGGGAATCATGTAGTTCCATCATTCATAATCACGTACCTGACAGAATTCTAGCTATGGAGATGAGTAGATCCAGTCAGGAAAAATTCCAGTCTTAGGACCAACATAATTGAGAATTCATCAAGCAAATTAAGCCAACCTAACCAAAATTTCACATAAAGGAGTCTCTATGACAAGAAGCTAATAGCATTCATGTGGTTTGCTTTATGCTCTAAATGACTATATACAAATAATTGCTGTATGTGGCCATAAAAAAGCAACAGAAGAACCATTAGAAAGTTAGGTACAATGCTCTTTGTATTATATAGGTATGTATGTGTGTAAATAAAATAAGTCTTTTGGGGTATATAATTTATTATTGAATAAAACTAAAAATACTTAAACATCACTTCTAAGATTTGAATATTTAATATGAATTTACCTTTTTCCAAAAATATGTGAGTATCACTTCCATCACTTTCTAACAACTGTTCTTCCAGTATCATACTGTCAAGTGAAATGGTATCCAGTGAGGTCTGTGAGGAGCTTCTCTTCATGTTCTTAGAAGAAACACAGAGTGGAGCCAGACTGGGCAGGATACGTTCCTTAGGCTTTCCACTGTTAACAAAATTATTAGAAAAACATCACATTAAACCTATTTTTCTATGTGTTAACTCTAGCAATGCCTTATTTTGTCATGAGGTTTACTGTCCAAAAACAAAATATGCCCCCACCACAAACATACGCACAGAAAACCAACCCCCCCCCCAAAATTCCAGTAGTATGTTGTTACCTTAAAGATGACTGAGATGTAAGTGTTCTAACTGTTGGTGCTTCTTCTTGATTGATTTCTAGGTTCTCAGAGAGTGAAGCTGTTTCTGGAAGCAAATCTTCAGCTTTAAAGACTGGCTCTGTGGTTTCATGTCCTCTACTACTTAAACTATTTGAAAGTATGTTTTGATTACCATCAGTATCAAAGGATAGCAAATTTGAATCTTCTCTGTGGTTTAAGACACTAATTGAATCTGTATAAGATGAATCCTTTTTGTCACTTGTTTCTGATCCAATTTCTCCTGATCCACTTTTGCAGACAATTCCACTACTTTCATCTTCACTTATTTTCCCTAAATTTTTATCTGATAAACAATCCAGAAAAGAAATACCTTTTTGCAGATTTGTATCACTAGCTGATTTAAAAAGCAAAGGATCCTTCGAAGGCACATGGCTCAGGTCAACACTCATAGATCTGTTGTCTGACATGAGATTAACAGTTACGCTTCTAATTTGATTTATACCACTACTATCTTGTTTCCTTTTGGAAGACAAAAATTCTCCATTTTCTGTAGGCAAATAATCAGGAACCACTGGGCTCACGCTTTCAGCAACAGGAGACTTAAGAGTATTTCCTTGATCCACTGGATGTAGCAAAAGAGCCACTTCTGCACTTTTAAGTAAAATTCCAATACAAATGGATGCCTGACTAGCAGGAGTGCCAGTCACAGCTTCTACATCTTTCCTTAAGTTCTCCAAAAGCAGAATAAGTGACTCATGGAGGAAAAGCAAGAGCAGATACTGGTAGTGATTGATCTGCATACTGACATGTTTATGAATGTGAACTAGGACATGAACATCTGCATCTGATGGTGAAGAGGAAAATCTTAAAAATGTATCTGAAGGTTTCTGACTACCATTTGTCAAGGGCTCAGATTCTGTACTGTAATACTCTTTCAAGAGCTTCTTCCGCTTGAGACGGCCAGTCAGATCACTAGATTCACTTCGTGATGTATTTAGACATACTTGATTACAAGACTGTAGCTCTTTTTGTGACACTGCATACCTTGTTGGTAAGCAAATCCAGATGGAAAGAGGGAAAGAGTCTACAAAATTTATTGGTCGCCCTTTCCCACTCTTTGTCCCTTCATAATCTATCCAAAATTGAGAAAAGTACAAAGCCCAAACATCTGTGGCAGCAGAAGTTTTAAGAGTGTGTTTATTCAACTTGGGAGTAATATTTCCTTTATAAACTTCATGCATTTTAGTATCTTGTTCATGAGCATGTCTCTGGAAGATTGGATGCAAAAGATTAAAATTGTCACCAGATTTGGGGAAGCTGGTATATGCTTTACTGAAAAAATCACAATCTTTAAAGTCTTGAAACAAAGCTTCTAGATCAGAATGTCGACAGTTTGGACAATGCCTTGTATTTGTGGCAATCATTTCAGAACTCTGAATAGAAACTGCATGTGGTTGATCTTGATGACATTCAGATTTCATTTCAGAAGGAATGACAAACTACAAGAGAAAAAACATTAATCTAACTTACAAATCCATATACATCTGAAGATAAACTAATCAGAAACATAATTTAGCTCAGGACTTCTTTTTGGTGTTTCCCCCCAGAACACTACTTTCCTACCCAGACATAATATACCAACTCTCTCCCCCAAACATTTTTATTAAACCAAGGAAAAGGGACTTAACTGATTAACCACTAAGAAAAAAACAACTTTACAAAAACCATAAATAATGAATAGTGAACATAATATATATGCATATTTGCATACAACATATCACAAAACAAAACAAACAACAACAAAATGAAACTAAATTAAATCAGTTATTACTAAAAGCTTACTACACCCTAAGTATATAAGTGGTAAGTTTGGAAAAAGGAACTTTTTCTTAGGATATTTTAAATCCAAGAGATTTGGAGGATGACTGGATGGGTAAATGGAATGAGTGGAGAGATGTCATTAGAATGACTTTTCTGGGATAAAACTATTAAGAAAATAAACTTTAGAGGACAGGTCAAACTATTTACTAAAATAATTTTTCAGAAATAACCTCAGTCCTCAAAATATTCACATCAAAGAGTTCAAAGGGACTGGTTTTAAAACTGTACATATTGAGAAAGTGTAAAGATCATTACATAACTGTCTTAGAGTATAATAGTAAATAAAATTGTAAAATAAAATAATTGTTATAAAATGTGTCTTTTTATATTGAATATAGTAAGATCTTTGAGAAAATGTTTAAAACATTTTTGTGATGTAGGAGTTTTATTCATAACCTCATTTTACAGAGAAGAAATTAAAGGTATAGAAACTTAGAGTACCAGCAACACACCTAGAAACTGAAATTTTTCATCCATGTCCAAGTCTTATTCTATTTACTACACTATAGTAGCTGTTTTATTAAAAAAAAAAACTTTCCTCCTTTAGAGCTAAAATATGCATGGGATTCAGATTATCAACTACTTGGCTGTAATACAAATCAACTTCCTATTATCTTTGGATATCAGTAACAGGAACAGAGTAACTGTGAAAAATTAAACACAGATCTAACTTACTAGTTCTGTTGTATTAATTACCACTTTTGAAAGAAAAATTTTATCTGGTCTGGTAAGATGTAAGAAAAAAAATGACTAATTTAAATTTTATTTCTGCTTACCTCCAAATGGATGAGCAGTGATAAAAGTTTTTCCAAACTTAGCACTTATATACTTAGAGTATAGTAAGCTTTTAGTAATACTTTTAGTAATACTGATTTAATTTAGGAAGAAGGGGGGAAAACAGTCTCTTAAAGCTTTTTAAATTAAAAATCAAAACTAAAACTGAAATTTCAAAATCAAAATTAAGATTACAATAAAGTTGATTTATATTTGAGTACCTATCTTAAATCCTAGAAATTCTAATGCTATTAACTTCTCTAAAAACAGTTTTGTGGGGCGCCTGGGTGGCACAGTCGGTTAAGCATCCAACTCTTGGTTTCAGCTCAGGTCCTAACCTCAGGGTCATGAGATCGAGCCCCACACTGGGCTCTGTACCCAGTGCAGCGTCAGCTTGAGACTCTCCCTCTGCCCCTGTCCCCACCTCTCTCTCTCTCTCAAGTAAATAAATAAATCTTTAATAAAAAAAGGAAAGAAATATGGTTTTGTTGTTACAGCCACTTGTTTATATGGTACCTTTAGCATTAAGCCATCAACTCGAATATCAACATGCTCATCAGATTTTGAATGGTCATTCAACTTGTATACAGCCATAAATTGATTAAGACTCTGTTTTAAATCCAACAGAAATTGATTTAACCATAGAATACTTCTTTCATCCACAGTAAACTGTAGTGCATTCAGTTGGCTATAAAGGTTGGCAGATGGAACTGTGGAGAAAAAAAATTAGAAAAAAATTTTTAATGAACAGATAGTCTAAATCTTCCTTGAGAGAAAACATTTTTAACAACTTTTATTCTTTTTAAATTAAGATAATAAGGTTTTGAAATTTTATTTACAAAATTAAAGTGACATGTGGATGATAGCAAACACTTTTAGATAGACAAAACAAGATTTTTCTATGCTTCACTAACTGAAAATATACTACTTAATCTAAAACTATCAGTATGAATAGGAAGTACTATTTAGATCTCTTTTCCTAATGTTATAGTCACCAAGAAGCAAACTTCAAAAAACCTTACCTTCTTGATGAAGTATCACATCACAGTTGTGGTCCTTAATCAGATATTTCTGTAAGGACTTATACTACATGCATGCAATCCGAATCCTCTAAAATATGAGAACAGTGACTTATGAAAGTGGTAAACAAGGCAGATCTCCTTGAGAGGCCATACACTTTTATTCTCCACTTAATCCTAACCCTAGAATAGTGCTTGGTGCAAAGTAAAAACTCAAGTATCTAGTAAATAATAAAAGGAATATACTCTTTTTCATAGCTCCCCCCAAATATTAGAATGCTCAGGAGTTGGATAAATGTTTTAGTGCTAATTTATATTAAACAAATACTCACAATTATAGTATATATCACTTCCTGTAATCCTTTTGTTTATACCATAAAAGCCATTATTATTTTCAGAGTATCTTTTATTTATAAAAAATCTTTTATTCTAAACATTCAGACCTATTTACTTCTAGTAAAGCAAATAGCATGCATATCTAGAACTTTTCAACAATAATAATTTAGGAAAATAAACCCAAGGAATAGGATATCAATAAAGAGACAGCATTATAATAATGTCCTGAATAGGACATTTTTGGCATTCATTCATTCGTTTGTTCATTCATTCCTTCATTCATTTTCTTTCAACAAAGATTCACTGAACACCAACTACATTTTGTGTATGGTGTAAAGTAATAAAAAGTAATAAAAGTAATAAAAAGTCTGTAGGTTTTTATTCAAGACAGACACAGAGGTAGAAAAATTGCAATTCAAGTCCAACAGAGACAGCCAATTGGGATGTGGAGGTGCTTGTATTTGAAAATAGAAAGGCAGCGAGATGCTGAGATCACATCACACTCTAGAAGGAAGGAAGAAAGGCCTCTCAATTATAGACTTTGTGATGATGACAGCTACAGAGAGGACTAGAGAGCAAATGCAGTCCCCAAGGCTACAGTACAGAAGGAAAGAAGAACCCGGGCTCTGCAGATCTGGGACAGAGAAAGAAACCTGGTGTACTAAGCAGTAGAAAAGTCTATACAGTATCTAACAGAGGATTACTTATGAAATAGATTATTATACAGTTATTAAAGATATTTAAAATAAACCTGTAGAAACCTGGAATATGCTCATATCATCAAGGGGAAAGGACAGGATGTAAATAAAACATATAATAGAAACACATATATTAAAAACAGGACTAGGAACACTATGCTTATGGTTATGGTCTGAACCATATCCCCTCAAAATTGATATGCTAATAAAGTTCTAACTCAGGGTATCTCAGAATATGACTGTATTTGGAGAAAGAACTTTTAAAGACGCAATCATGGTAAATATGAGTTCATGTGGGTGGGCCCTAGTCCAATATGATCGGCATTATTAGGAAACACAGAGGAAAGACCCCATGAAAAGATAGAAATCTACAAGCCAAGGAGAGGTCTTTGAAGAAACGACCCTGCTGACACTTGATCTAGAACTTACAGTCTCAAGAATTATGAGGAAATACATTTCTTTTGTTTGAATCACCCAGCCTATGGTACTTTGTTATGACAGCCCTAGCAAATTCATACACTTATGTTTTAGCAGAAGTCATCTCTAAATTGTAGGCTTGTGAGCAATTATTTTTGGCATTTAAAAAAAAATAACCCATAATATATATTACATTTACGATATTTAAAAAGTGATCTATTTTAAAGTTGGGTTGCTTAACAAAGAGATGAAATGTAAGGACTGAAAATGGATCTTTGTACATGGGGATTCAATGCACTCTCCTCTTTATTTTTATGTATGTTTGAAATTTTTGATAATGAACAGTTAAATTAAACACAGTTAAAAGTAACCTAGCAATTCCACCCCTAAGTATCTATGGAGCTAGGGTTTAAATTGCTGAGAAGGAATCTTACATTTTTATCAGAAAAAATATATATATTGTAAAATGAGATTATATTCCTTTGGCACATGTTAACAAAACTGATAGAAATAAATAAACCTAGATTAGAAATCAGAAATCCTGGAAACTAGTCTTAACTCTGAAGAATTACTAGTTCAGTGATGTATTAGTTAAAGAAAACAATGATTTGTGAGAGGTGCGGAAGGCTGGAAACAATGGGATTCTCCAATTATAGACAAATGGTTGTGAATATCCTAGGAAGGCGTGTAATATAGCTGGGGACTGGAGGGAAGACACACAACGAATTTTGATATAGATGACCCATCCTTGAGTTTCAGCTGTGCCATCTTACTAAGGTGCTGAGCAAATGTCTTAACTTAATTTCCTCATTGTTTTAGTCAGGAAGGTAGAAAAGAGAAACAAATGAGAAATAACAAAAGACTACTGAAAACCATGAAGATGGTGAGAATTAGATCCCAAAACTTTGGCACAAACAAGAATTAAATGGTTAGACAGTTAAACAAAAAGGTACACATAAACAAAGGCAAATTTTAGTTTGCACAACTCCTGGATGAACTGAGACAATAGTATAGAAATTTACCATTCAAAGAACACAAATGTATAATTATTTTAACCTTAGGACCCCAAAATACTTTACAAACAAAAATTCATGTAACTCAATGTTTCTAACTAAAGACAAGGGCCAAAGGTTGTCCAAAGTATACGTTTGTGCATTAAAAAACAGCAAAAAAATTTCTCTATAGCTAAAAGAATAACTCATTAATTTTTCAATGAAATATAGTTTTATATAACTGAAATATAAATAGGCTTTACTAAAGGGAAAAAAATGACCTTATTCTATAAATAACCTAACTTTCATAAATTCTTTCATTCAACTAACAGCTACTAAGTAAAGAAATGAGTCAAACCTCAGGGATAAAATGAAGCATGACTACTACATAATTCCCAACATTATAGATGCTACAACCTGGGGCACCTGGGTGGCTCAGTTGGTTAAGCGTCTGCCTTCAGCTCAGGTCATGATCTCTGGGTGCCTCACCTCAGGCTCCCTGCTCAGCGGGGAGTATGCCTCTCCTCTCCCTCTGCCCCTCCCCCTCCTCATGCGATCCCTCTCTCTCACTCTCTCAAATAAATAAAATAATTTTTAAAAAGATTAAAAAAAAAAAGGATGCTACAAGCTAGTGAGAGAAAAAACATGAATAATCAGAATATGTAAAAAACGCTATACTATACAGGCACCTGGGTGGCTCAGTCTGTTAAGCCTCTGCCTTCGGCCCAGGTCATGATCCTGGGGTTCTTGGATCGAGCCCCTTGTTAGGCTCCCTGCTCAGCATGGAGTTTGCTTCTCCCTCTGCTACTCTCCCTGCTTGTGTTCTCTCTCTTTCACTCTCTCGCTCAAATAAATAAAATCTTTAAAAAAAATACTATACTATAGTTATATACTAAGTACAATGACAAGTGAACAATGAATTTTGTTTATAAAACTCAAAAACTTAGGAAGAAACAGAACAACTTCCCAAGTAATGGACAAGTAATAAAAAAGCAGGAAACTCTCTTACTTGGAAAATCCTTTCCATCTGGATAGTAATATTCTGTGAATTCTATATAGACAGCTGACATTTCCTGTGGAAGATACAGGGATTTCTTATTGCAAGAAATCATACTCTTGGGGGAAGAACGACATTGTTCTGCTGTAGAGACCTGAAAAAATAATTAAGCATATTGAAGTAACACTAAATAAAGCCCTTTCCAAACAATTTATGCCACATCAACATCACTTCAAACTCCTAAAACTACTTCAAATAATTTATTAATTTCCAATGAAAACGTTATTATATATTTAAGCTCACATTAAATTATTTTTAATAATACCAATCAACTATTCAGAAAACTATAACCTCTTTAAAGGCTTATCATAACAACTCTTTACAACAGTCCTTGCAAACCTATTATTTTGAGCCATAAAATATCAGAATATTTGTATAACAGAAATAAGTAAATGGCACAGTCAGAACACAGATCCAGGTCCACAAGAACAGACTGCTTCCCTGGTGTGTATTTATAGTAATATTTTATCACAATTTATCATTATGAAAAATAATATAGCTATATACAGAGTTTCAAGCTGGGGTAATAAAAAAATTATGGAGATGGAAAATGGTGATGATATGGTAATGGCTATACAACTCTGTAAATAAACAATGCCAATGAATGCGACACTTAAAAATAGTGAAATGCTATCAAACCATTACGTTGTACACTTGAAACTAATATAATGCTATATGTCAATTACACCTCATTTTTTAAATTTAAATTTGATTAGCCAACACATAGTGCGTCATTAGTTTCATATGTTGAGTTCAATAATGCATCAGTTGCATGTAACACCCAGTGCTCATCACGTGATGTGCCCTCCTTAATACCCATCACCTAATATCCCATCCCCCTACCCACGTCCCTTCCAGCAACCACCAGTTTGTTTCCTAGAGTTAAAAGTCTCTCATGGTTTGTCTCCCTCTCTGATGATTTACCATTCAGTTTCCCCTCCTTTCCTCTATGATCCTCTACTCTATTTCTTATATTCCACATGTGAGTGAAACCATATGATAATTTTTTCTGACTGACTTATTTCCCTCAGCATAATACCCTCCAGTTCGATCTACGTCGATGTAAATGGTAAATATTCATCCTTTCTGGTGGCTGAGTAATATTCCATTGTATATATATACACCACCTCTTCTTTATCCACTAATCTGCCGATGGACATCTTGGCTCTTTTGACAGTTTGGCAATTGTGGACATTGCTGCTATGAACACTGGGGTGCATGTGCCCCTTCGGATCACTACATTTGTATCTTTGGGGTAAATACCCAGTAGTGCAATTGCTGGGTCATAGGGTAGCTCTCTTTTTAACTTCTTGAGGAACCTCTATACTGTTTTCCAGGGTGGCTATAGCAGCTTGTACTCCCACCAACAGTATTAAGAGGGTTCCCCCTTCTCCACATCCTTGCCAACATTTGTTGTTTCCTGTCTTGTTAATTTTAGCCATTCTGATTGGTGTCAGGTGGTATCTAATTGTGATTTTGATTTGTATTTCCCTGATGCCCAGTGATGTGGAACATTTTCTCATGTGTCTGTTGGCCATTTGATGTCTTTTTTGGAGCAATGTCTGTTTATGTCTTCTACCCATTTCTTGACTGGATTATTTGTTCTCTGGGTGGTGAATTTGGTAAGTTCTTTATAGATCTTGGATACTAGTCCTTTATCTGATATGTCATTTGCAAATATCTTCCTCCATTCTGTCAGTTTTCTTTTGGTTTTGTCAACTTTCCTTTGCTGTGTAAAAGCTTGTTATCTTGATGAAGTCCCAATAGTTCATTTTTGCTTTTGTTTCCCTTGCTTTTGGAGACGTGTCTACCAAGAAGTTGCTGCAGCCAAGGTCAAAGAGATTGATTCTGTGTTCTCTAGGGTTTTGACAGACTCCTGTTTCATACTGAGGTCTTTCATCCATTTTGTGTTTATCTTTGTGTGTGGTGTAACAGAATGGTCCAATTTCATTCTTCTATATGTGGCTGTCCAATTTTCCCAGCATCATTTATTGAAGAGACTGTTCTTTTCCATTGGATCTTCTTTCCTGCTTTGTCAAAAATCAGTTGACCATAGAGTTGAGGGTCCATTTCTGGGTTTTCTATTCTGTTCCATTAGTCTATGTGTCTGTTTTTTGTGCCAGTACCATACTATCTTGATGATTACAGTTTTGTAATAGAGTTTGAAGTCCAGCATCATGATGCCACCAACTTTGGATTTCTTTTTCAACATCCCCTTGGCAATTTGGGGTCTTTTCTGGCTCCATACAAATTTTAGGATTATTTGTTCCAGCTCTGTGAAAAATGTCTATGGTATTTTAATAGGAATTGCATTGAATGTGTACATTGCTCTGGGTAGCATAAACATTTTAACAATATTTCTTCTTCCAACCCATGAGCATGGAATGTTTTTCCATTACTTTGTGTCTTCCTCAATTTCTTTCATAAGTGTTCTCTAGTTTTTAGATTATGGATCCTTTACCTCTTTGGTTAGATTTATTCCTAGGTATCTTATGGTTTGGGGTGCAACTGTAAATGGAATTGACTCCTTAATTTCTCTTTCTTCTCACTGTTACTGTATAAAAATGCAACTGATTTTGTGCATTGATTTTATATCCTGCCACTTTGCTGAATTCCTGTATGAGTTCTAGCAATTTTGGGGTGGAGTCTTTTGGGTTTTCCACACAGAGTATCATGTCATCTGTGAAGAGTGAGAGATTGACTTCTTCTTTGCCAATATGAATGCCTTTTTTTTGTTTTGTTGTCTGATTGCTGAGGCTAGGACTTCTAGTACTATGTTGAACAACAGTGGTGATAATGGACATCCCTGCCGTTTTCCTGACCTTAGGGGAAAAGCCTCTTAGCTTTTTCCCATTGAGAATGATATTCACTGTGGGCTTTTCATAGATGGCTTTTTTGATATTGAGATATGTTCCCTCTATCCCTACACTGTGAAGAGTTTTAATCAAGAAACGATGTTGTACTTTGTCAAATCCTTTTTCTCATCCATTGAGAGGATCACATGATTCTTGTCCTTTCTTTTATTAATGTGATGTATCACATTGATTGATTTGCGGATGTTGAAGCACGCTTGCAGCCCAGGAATAAATCCCACTTGGTCGTGGTGAAGAAGCCTTTTAATGTACTGTTGGATTGTATTGGCTAGTATGTTGGTGAGAATTTTGGCATCCATGTTCATCAGGAATACTGGTCTGTAATATACATATATATATATATTTTTTTTTTTTACAAAAATAAAATTGAATACAGTGAAAGGAAGTCAAAAATGAAGAATATATCTATAAAATGTAAATGTAAAAATGAAAATTAAAAAGACTTAAAAACAAAGAGTTGATAAGTAACTAGTTGAAAAGGAAAATTTTAAAAGATGAGATACAAAAGATAAAAGAATCATGAGTAGAAACCTCAAATTCTATATACTATTTTCCCCTAGCACTGGAGTTTTGCAGTTCTGTATGCTCCTGTAAACTTGGTATTCGCCTGATGTTCCAGCTGGTCTTCTGGTAGAGAGGCCTGTTGCGTTGATTTTCAGGTGTTTTTGCCAGGGTGGAGTTGCACCGCCCCTTCCCAGGGGGCCAGGCTCAGTGTTAAGCTGCTTTGGGTTGCTCTATGTGGCTTTTGCTCCCTGAAGGCTTTCCATGACACTTTAGAGGATGAAAATAAAAATGGCGGTGCCCAGATCTCCAGGCCCGGAGCTCAATGATCATTGCCTCCTCTCTTTAGTAAACCCTCAGGGAAAAGTAGTCTTCACTTTTGTGTGCGCCCATCTCTGCAGACTCCTGCGGTGTGCACCTGCACTGATCCTCCCGGAAAGGAGGGTTGCAATGGGCTTGTCGCTTGCAGGGCCCCTACACAGAAGTGGTCGACAGATCGAGCGTGCACCTGTGCCACCCCTCTGGGGAGAAAGAGAGTTGCCGTGTTTCTGCCCTTTGCAGGGCCCTGGCATGGAGAGTGGTTGCCCTACTGAGCAGCTGTTCAAGGTTTATAGCAAACCAAGCTGAGAGCCCATTCCGGGGTTTGCTGACTGTAGCCAGTTTCCTGCTCCAATGCTTGGGAACTCTACCAGCTCAGGCACCCCCATTCTTTCTGTGACCCCGGGGATCCTGAGACCATACTGTCCCATCTAGGATTCTGCCCCACTTCGCCACCTGAGCACCTCTCAGGCAGGGACATGTCTCACTGGAGCAGACCTCTAAAAGTTCTGATTTTGTGCTCCGCTGCTATATTACTTTCTGGCACCTGGCTGATGGAGCCTCCTTCCCACTCCCCGCCAACCCCCTGCCATTTATCTTCTGATATATATCCCCTCAGTGGTGGCTTTTCTATTTGTAGAATTCCAGCAATTCTTTTCTTACATCTCAGGTTGAATTTATAGGTGTTCAGAATGATTTGATAGTTATCTAGCTAAATTCAAGGCACCAGATGAAATGAGGTCCCCTACTCTTTCACTATCTTGCCTCCCTCCTCTCAATTATACCTCAATTAAAAAAATGTCTAAAATGGTAAATTTTATGTTATGCATATTTTACTACAATAAAATTAACTTAAAAATAATACAACTAGAAATGCTTCTGTCAAAGTTTCATCTCTTATTTTTTCTAAAAAGACTATTAGTTTTAAGGTTCTTATTACACTTTTTCACTCTCCCCTGCAAAACAGCAAATTTACATAAAAATGTATATATTAATTTCCCCAAAGTTCAACCAATAGTTTTATCAATTTCATTTATTTGTGCTTTAGTATATACCCTGCGATGTATCTCAAGGTTAATTTTTTTCATTCATTTAACAAACATGTATATTTCTCATATGAAGTAGAATAGTTTTTCAATAGTTTATGTTTCATCTTGGCTAAACTGCTGATAAACCTTTTGAATAGTAATACAGTCTTTATAAATTTAAGTCAGTTCTTTGCATTATCTAATTAAGAAGCTCTTCTCTGCATATATGGAAACAAATCCTTTTCAACTCAATGTATCAACTTACCTTAATAGATAATAACTTACTTCCTGTTGTCTTCAACAGAAAAAAAGTTATTCAAATTGGGATAAACATTCTATTTTCTTCCGGTTATTTTTATTTGTTTTATTTGTATGTGTGGTATTTCTTTACTGTATTTCACCCTCAACTACTTCGGATTATGGGTGATTCCCCTCCCCAATTTTATATGTATTTATTTACATCTTATAATTTAAAGTTAGCTTCCAATAAGATGCAGCAGATACAGAATGTAAAACAAGAAGCAACTGTATAATAAGAAAAAAAACTGAGTTTTCCCAAAATTGGTACTATTGACATTTTGGGCCAGATAATTCTTTGTTGTGGGCAACTGCTGACAATGCCCAGTGCCTTGTTAAAATATTTAGCAGTATCACTCGTCTCTACCCACTATTTGTCAGCAGCAATCCCCTCCGGTTGTGACAACCAAAACTGTTTCCAGAAATGACCGAATGTCCCCATGGGGTAAAATCAGCCCCAGATGAAAACCACTGAGTAAAATAAAAATAAATTTATTTATCAAAATAAACCACAACAATTCACAGATGAGAACACATATCTGAAATTGTTTAAGAATATTATATATTCTATTGTTCGTCTCAAGGATTGCAATATTAGACCATGTTTTATGATAATAGCCTGAACAATATAAATGGGACAGAGATCTTAGCCATGAAGTTATGTTCACAAAATAGGCAACATTTAGTAGTTCAATAAGACAAAAAAAAAGGATTTGTTTCTTCCACTAAGAGCATTGTGTAATAAGGAATTTGGCCTTCTAAGAGAGGTCTGGCCTTTATCCCTGCTGCTGGGAGGTAATTCTAAATTGAACTGATAGTTTATGCTTATGATGATGACTAAGAGGGGGGCTGGCCAGACTTGATAGTCTTAGTAATCTTTAGAGGGTCAGGGCTTTGGGTAACCTGGTATTAATTTACATAGAGAATGAGTTCACCTACGAGGGTAATAGTTAATGCATATTGTTACACATCCATGCCAGGAAGCTAAAATGTCCTGAGGACAGGAAGTTTCACAACTGGAACCCTCCCAGCCCAATTCAGTTTCTCTCTCTATGGCTAAATCTAATTTATATCCTTTCCCTGTAATAAATGTAATTCTTAGTATAATTTCTTTGAGTTCTGTGAGTTATTCTTTTTTTTTTTACTTTTTTGATTGTTATGTTAATCACCACACATTACATCATTAGTTTTTGATGTAGTGTTCCATGATTCATTGTTTGTGCATAACGCCCAGTGCTCCATGCAGAACATGCCCCTCTTTAATACCCACCACCAGGCTAACCCATCCTCCTACCCCCCTCTCCCTCTAGAACCCTCAGTTTGTTTCTCAGAGTCCATCATCTCTCATGGTTTGTCTCCCCCTCCGACTTCCCCCCCTTCATTCTTCCCCTCCTACTATCTTCTTCTTTTTTTTTTTTCTTAACATATATTGCATTATTTGTTTCAGAGGTACAGATCTGTGATTCAACAGTCTTGCACAATTCTTTGTGAGTTTTTCTAATTCTTGAATCCATAGGTAGTTTAGGGGAGACTGCTGAACTTGCAGTTGGTGTCAGAAGTCTTGTGCAGATTTGGCAGTCTGGAGGACTATGCTCTTAACCTCACAGTTTGGTTAATTCTGTGCAACCATATAAACAAAAATTAATGAATTGACATTTTCTATCCTGTCTAGTTTAGCTATTTCATAAAACTGGTCAAGATGTGGGGTTTTTGGTGTTTTTTTTTCTTTTTAAGTAGGCTCTACACACACAATGGAGCCCAATGCAAGGCTTGAACTCATGACCATGAGATCAAGACCTGAGCTGAAATCAAGAGTTGGACACTTGATCAACTAACCCAGCCAGGTGCCCCTGGTCAAGATATTTTTAAATAAAATGGTGACATGAGTTTATAAGAGATGCTTGCAGAAGGTGTTTATCAGAAGATCTAATTAAAGGGGCGCCTGGGTGGCTCAGTTGGTTAAGCGACTGCCTTCGGCTCAGGTCATGATCCTGGGGTCCCTGGATCGAGTCCCGCATTGGGCTCCCTGCTCGGCAGGGAGTCTGCTTCTCCCTCTGACCCTCCTCCCTCTCATGCTCTCTGTCTCTCACTCTCTCTGTCTCAAATAAATAAATAAAATCTTTAAAAAAAAAAAAAAGATCTAATTAAAAAATAAAGCGTACCTGGTATATATTGAAATCTGCAAGTCTAACCACAACAGAACTAGACATTAACTTAGCTTTGGATTGTTGAGATAATACTGAAGGTGTTCTGGAAGTCCCTTTCAGAGCTGAGTCTTTCTCTGTGGGAAATGAAAAAACCTTTCAATTTATTGCAACATTATTTTTATAACAGTCACTTTTTTATTATTAAGACAGCTACTAGAAATATACATGAACACTTAATTTGTCAAACAAGATAATATAAACTGTGAAAATATATATAAACTGACGTAGGTTATCACAATGATTCCTATTTTTGTGTGTGATTATTCCTTAAACGTGAGTCATACTTATATCACATTTAAGATATTCTTGTACAATAATTTTTACCTGAAATTCTTGGTAAAAAAAGAGACCTTTAGTATTTAACAGTCTCAAATATTCTATCTGGATATTATGTTTATTAGTCATATTAATTTAAAAAGTGCTTTGGTCCATAATCCTATGGTCTGAATAAGGTTCAGAACTTTTAGATATTAATTAAACATAATACTTATCCACAGAAAATATCATATTATGATCACACACACACACAAACACAGGCACAGACACTTAATACCAGAGGAATGCCATAACGTTATTATAGGTAAAATACCTGTTTGTGTGTGCTGGGGAGAGGCATGTGTTGGGGATTTAGGAGGTGAACCTACATTATGATCCTTTACAGCCTGCTTAAGCATTTCAACGTTGCACTCAAATTCATGTAACAACTCATTGGCCCATCCATTTTTTGTTTTAGTTGCATCGCTAAAATACATCCAATGATTACAACTATCCCCTGTAAAATGAATGACAGGTATTTCACTGAAAAATGCACAATTTTCATTTATCTTATTATAGCCCTGCTTCTAATTAATGAGATTTATTCATTTTCCAAGGGACTCTTTCTCAAGGGAGCAGCCTTCACCTACAAGAGCTTTTAATCTGCCTGGAAAATGTGAGCAAAACATTTAGAATACAGGGAAAGAATGTCAAAAGCAAATTATCTAAAAGGTTTCTATCAAGACTCACCATTGGTAGAACATCACTCAAAAGTTTCAATGACAAACAGTACTCCTGGTCAACCTTCACTGAATGCTCAACAGCCTGGTATACTTCCATTACAAAGAACCCGAGAAAATACTACCACAGAAAAAAGTCCTTTCCTCAAAGATTTGTTATAAAGTGACTAATAAAACCTATCCTTAAAATGCTAAGATTATTAGAACACTAAAGAAACCAATAAAATATCTCAAGATAGACATCAGTCATAAAGATATAGATATATCTATACTTATATAGATTTTTCAGGAGGAAAAATAAAAATCAGGATTATTAGTTTCTCTGTAGCAAAAACTGAGAAAAGCAGTATGTACTTAAAAGGGTTAAGAAAAATGACTAAGAGTTTTACCTCCCAAAATATGAATTATTTCTGTAGTTAAAAAATATTTTATGTATATGTAAGTAACTTACAAATTAGGAGAATAGAATATATAGCAAAGCCTTCCAACAAAAATCAAAACAAATAGTAAAACCTTTAAATTCTGTCAGGTACAGATACAGAAATAACAAAGAGTAGGAGATGGAAATTTATGAACAGAAAAGTTTTATCACTTTCTTAAAGTCCTGAAAAATTCATTATACTTGTTTTTTCTTATTTTTGTGAATTAAAAAAAAAAAGCCACACATTACCAAAATGCAGAGATTGGCATAAGATCAAATTACTTAATCTGGCCATAAATATATATACCTTTTGTTTTTATTATTTGGGAGAAAAAGCCTATCAATATTCAACTATTCAAAAGTATATTATGTATTACTTCTCAGGTTTTTGGCTAAAATCAAGTGCAAAAAGTCTATTAATGAAACTTAGAAAATATAGAAAAGTTAAAAAAAAGTTTCAGGAATCTTAAAATCATTGTTATCCTTTTACTTTATATTCTTTCTTGATTTTTTAATATACTAATAATATACTAACTTTTAAAATTCTACACATATTAATAACTTACTTTTGCTACAATGAACAAAATAAAATGGCACAAAATATGTCTTCCACATTCTGATTTTAAGTTTTAAATCAATTATTTAGAATACTGACAAATGCTAACAATTACACTTTCTAATAATCTACATAAAACTCTATAAAATGCATAAATATTTTCTATGGCATTTATATCTTCTTGGTAAGATACTACTGGGGAAAAAATAACAAACGTCTTGGTCTCTTTTTTCGTTAAAAAATTAAAGAGAGGAAAGATGGCAGTAGAGTAGAACTCCAGGCTCACCTTAACCCACGAATACACTTAGATTACTATCAAGCCATCCTAAAAAACCCAGAAATTGGCCTCAAGACTGGCAGAACGCCACACTAAAGGTAGAGAAGAGGCCACAATGAAGAAGGTAGGAAGTGCGGTGACAGGGTTTGGGAAACAGATCGTGGCTACTGTGTTGGGGAGGGAGCCAGAGTCACAGAGAAGGGTTAAAGACAAGCTAACACACAGGGAAACACATGGGGAAAATGAATCCCCATAAGCAGCTGACTTGGAAAGCAAAAGGAGCTGAATTTCATGACTTCTAGCAACCAGCAAGGCTTAAAGCCTGGAGTTCTGAAGGTCAGCATGCCTGGCTGTGGGAAAGTTCGGAGGACACTGAAGCAGCTCTTGTAAAGAAGGCAGACAAACAACCCACAAACATGTAGCATGGAAACAGCAATCTGAAGAGCACCTGAAGCATACACCAGGGAAGTTATTCACTCATCTTGGATCACATCCCAGAGAGAAAGCATTCAGGGAGAGACCCCTCTGGGAAAAAAGGAACAGGCCAGAACCATTTCCTTCCCCCGCCCCTCAGCATAAGCACAGGGTAACCTGCAGGAATCAGCTTAGTGTGGACATCCACTACCCAACTTGCTTACATCAAACCTTGCTCCACGCACTCCAGTGGAACTGCCCCTCCCACTCACACTTGCCTCAGTCCCAGTGCAGTGGACCCCACTCCTCCAGAAGACATGCCCAAATCCCTGCTCACACTGCAACTCCCTAAATGGGAGTTTTGAAGAGCCTCTGTTCCGGCAGTTGTGGCAACAGGTCTCAATTCACAAGCAGACCAGAGCATACCTAGCTAAAATGCTCCATATTCAGGCCAGGGACAAAACACTGCCAACAGGCAAAGAGAGCCTCTGCAGACAACTGGCCTGGGAGATAAAGCAACCAGGAAACAACAACAGAGCACTCCCAGAAGCACCAGGACCTGGTGAACAGGGAACACCAGAAAGCAGGGCACTCCAGAACCTCTTTTTCATAAGGCCATTACCCTCAAGAACAGGCGATATAGCTGATTTTCCTAACACAGAGAAATAGGCACAGAGACTCAGACAAAATGAGAAGACAGAGAAATTTATCTCAAGTGAAAGAACAGGACAAGGGCACAGCCTGAGAGCTAAGTGAAACAAATATAAGTTACATGACTGATTCAGAATATAAAGTAATGATTATAAGGATATTCATTGGACCTGAGACGAGAGTGGAAGACATGAGCGAGAACCTTAACACAGAGATAAGGAATGACATAGCAAAGATAAAAGGCTCAATGAATGAAATGAGAAACACACCTGGTGGAATGAGCAGCAGGATGGAAGAGGCAGAGGAACAAATTAGTAACCTAGAAGACAGATTAATGGAAAGTAATCAAGCTGAACAAAAGAGAGAGAAAAGAATTATGCAAAATGAGAATAGACTTAGGGAACTCAGTGATTCCATCAAACATAATAACATCAAACATAGTATTATAGGAGTCACAGAAAAAGAAGAGAGAGAAAAGAAGGCAGAATATTCCTTTGAAGAAATAAAAGAAGACAACTCTTGGGTCCCCCTCCCAATTCGGGAGCTTTGTACTCTATCATTTAATAAATTTTACTATCGCTCAATAAACTCTGCTTTGCTGCCTGAAAGAAAGAAAGAAACAAAGTAACGAAGAAAGAAAGAAAAGCTAAAAATTTCCCTAGATACCTGTTTCCTTTCCTGGGAAAGGATCAGGATCTAGATCCAGGAGGCATAGAGAACTAACATCAAAATCAACAAAAGCAGATGCACACCAAGACATATTTTAATTGCCAAAATATAGTGATAAAGAAAAAAAATTAAAAGCAGGAAGACAAAAGAAGACAGTAACTTACAAGGGGAAACCCGTAAGGCTATGAGAGGATTTTTCAGCAGAAATTTTCCAAGCCAGAAGATAGCGGCATGATATATTCAAAGTGCTGAATGGGGAACATCTGCACCAAAGAATACTCTATCCAGCAAGGCTATCATTCCGAATAGAAGGAGAGATAAAGAGTTTCCCAGACAAACAAAAAAGAAAGGAGTTCATGACCATTATATCAGTCCAGCAAGACATATTAAAGGGGACATGAGTGGAAAGGAGAGACCAAAAGTGACAGTATTAAGATAGGAAACACAAAAGCAGTAAAAATGAATATTTCTGTAAAAAAATCAATCAAGGAACTCATAAAATAAAGAATGTAAAATATAAAAACATAGATCTAAAATGTGGGGAGGAGAAAAGTAAACAATGGGATCAAAGTTAATACAGACTGCTATATGCAGAAAAGGTTATATACAAACCTAATGGTAACCATAACAAAAACCACTAATAAATATGCAAAGAATAAAGAGAAAGAAATCCAAATATATCACTAAAGAAAATCAGCAAACCATGAAAAAGAGACAAAGATCAGAGAAAATCTTTAGAAATGACCACAAAACAAATAATGACAATGAATACATATCTGTCAATAATTACTTTGAATTTATGTGAACTAAATGCTCCCATCAAAAGACACAGGATAGCAGAATAGATAAAAAGAACAAGGCCCATCTATATGCTGTCTTCAGAAGACTTATTTTATACCTAAAGACACTGGCTGATTGAAAGTGAGGGGATGGAGAAACATTTATCATGCAAATGGATGTCAAAAAAAAGCTGGAGTAGCAATACTTGTATCAGGCAAAACAGACTTTTAAACAAACACTGTAACAAGAGACAAAGAAGGATAATATATAATCACAAAGAGACAATCCAACAAGAAGATATAACAATTGTAAATATTTATGCATCCAACACAGGAGGACCCAAATACATAAAACAGTTAGTAACAAATATAAAGGAACTAATTGATAGTAATAATAGTAGGAAACTTTAACATCCCACTTAAACATCAATGGACAGATCATCTAAACAGAAAATCAATTAAGAAAACAATGGCTTTGAATGACAAACTGGAACAGATGGATTTGACAGATACATTTAGAACATTCCATCATAAAATAGCAGAATACATATTCTTTTCAAGTGTACATGGAATATTCTCCAAAATAAATCTCAACAAATTCAAGAATGTTGAAGTCATACCATGCACCTTTTCTGACCACAACACTATGAAACTAGAAGTCAACCAGAAGAAAAAATCTGGAAAGATCACAAATACATGGAGGTTAAATAACATGCTACTAAACAATGAATGTGTCGACCAGAAAATAAAAGAAGAAATAAAAAGAGTAAATGGAAACAAATGAAGATATAATGGTCCAAAACCTTTGGGATGCAGCAAAAGCAGTTCTAAGAGGGAAATTTATAGCCAAAGAGGCCTACCTCAAGAAGCAAGAAAAATCTCAAATACACCACCTAACCTTAAACCTAAAGGAGCTAGAAAAAGAAAACAAACAAAATCCCAAACCAGTAGAAGGACATAATAAAGATTAGAGCAGAAATAAATTACATAGAAACTAAAAAAAACAACAGAACAAATCAATGAAACCAGGAGCTGTTTCTTTGGAAAAAAAAATAATAAAATTGATAAACCTCTAGCCAGACTTAAAGAAAAAAAGATGCTCAACGGGGTGTCTGCTTCTCCCTCTGACCCTCCCCCCTCTTGTGCTCTCTCTCTCCCATTCTCTCTCTCTCTCAAATAAATAAAATCCTAAAAAAAAAAGAAGAAATGAAACAGGACTCCAATAAAATAAAAAATGAGCAAGGAGAAATAACAACCAAGACCACAGAAATACAATTATAAGAGGTTATTATGAAACACTAAATGCCAACAAATTAGACAACCTAGAAAAAATGGATAAATTCCTAGAAACATATAAACTACTAAAACTGAAACAGGAAAAGAAAGTTTGAACAGACTGATAAGCAGCAAAGAAACTCAATCAGTAATCAAAAAACTCCCAACAAACAAAAGCCCAGGACCAGATGGTTTCACAGGCAAATTCTACCAAACATTTAAAGAGGGGTTAATACCTATTGTTCTCCAAACTATTCCAAAAAAATAGAAAAGGAAAGAAAACTTCCAAATTCATTCTATGAGGCCAGCATTACCTTGATACCAAAACCAGGTAAAGATACCACTGAAAAAAGAACTACAACCCAATATCCCTGATGAACATAGATGCAAAAATCCTCAACAAAATACTAGAAAACGGAATTCAACAACACATTAGAAAAATCACTCACCGTGAACAAGTGGGGATTCATTCCTAGGTTGCAACAGTGGTTCAATATTTGCAAATCAATCAATGTGATATAGAACATCAAAAAGAGAAAGAATATGATCATTCAACAGGTGCAAAAAAAGCATCTGACAAAGTACAACATCCATTCATTATAATAGCCCTCATCAAAGTAGGTTTGGAGGGAACACACCTCAACATAACAAAGGTCATATATGAAAAACCCACAGTGAACATCATCTTTAATGGGGAAAAACTGAGAGCTTTTCCCCTAAGGTCAGGAACAAAACAAGGATGTTCACTTCCACTACTTTTATTCAACATTGTACTGCAAGTCCTAGCCACAACAGTCAGACAACAAGAAGAAATAAAGAGCATCCAAATCAGCAAGGGGGATGTGAAACCTCCACTATTTGCAGATGACATGATGCTATATATAGAAAACCTGAAAGACTCCAGCAAAAAACTGCTACAACTGATAAATGAATTCAGTAAAGTCACAGGATAAAATATCAATGTATAGAAATCTGTTGCATTTCTATACACCAATAATGAAGCAGCAGAAAGAGAAATCAAAGAATCAAGCCCATTTACAAATGCCCCCAAAACCATAAGATACCTAGGAATAAATCTAACCAAAGAGACAAAGGAACTATACTCTGAAAACTATAAAACGCTGATTAAAGAAATTGAAGAAGACACAAAGAAACAGAAAGACACTTCATGCTCATGGATTAGAAGAATATTGTTAAAATGTCTATACTATCCAAAGCCTACACATTTAATGTAATCCCTATCAAAATACCAAAGGTATTCTTTTCCAGAACTAGAACAAACAATCCTAAAATTTGTATGGAACCACAAAAGACCTCGAATAGCCAAAGCAATCTTGAAAAAGAAAAGCAAAGCTGGAGGCAGCACAACTCTGGACTTCAAGTTATATTACAAAGCTGTAATCATCAAGACAGTATAGTACTGGCACAAAAACAGATACATAGATCAAGAGAAGAGAACAGAAAACCCCCAGAAATAAACCCATTAAGTATATGGTCAATTAATTTTTGACAAAGGAGGAATAACTATCCAATGGGAAAAGAACAGTCTCTTCAAACAAATGGTGTTGAGAGAACTGGACAGCAACATGCAAAGGAAACAAACTGGACCACTTTCTTATACCAAACACAAAAATAATTCAAAATGGATTAAAGACCTAAATGTGAGACCTGAAACCACAAAAATTCTAGAAGAGAAGAGGCAATAACCTCTTTGACATCAGCCAGAGCTATTTTTTTCTAGATATATCTCCTGATGCAAGGGAAACAAAAGCAAAATAAACTATTGGGATTACATCAAAATAAAAAATTTTGCACAGCAAAGAAAACAATCAATAAAACTAAAAGGCAACCTTACAGGATGGGAGAAGATATTTGCAAATGACATATCCAATAAAGGATTAGTATCTAAAATATATAAAGAACTGATACAACTCAACACCCAAAAACCAAATAATCCAATTAAAAATGGGCAGAAGACATGAACAGACATTTTTCCAAAGAAGACATCCAGATGGCCAACAGACACATGAAAAGATGTTCAATATCACTCATCATCTGGGAAATGTAAATCAAAACTACAATGAGATAGCACTTCACACCTGTCAGAATTGTTAAAATCAGTAACACAAGAAACAACAGGTGTTGGCGAGGATGTGGAGAAAGGGGAATCCTTTGCAATATTGGTGGGAATTTAAATTGGTGCAGCCACTCTGATAAACAGTACGGAGGTTCCTCAAAAAGTTAAAAATAGAACTACGCTATGATCCAGCAATTGCACTACTGGATATTTACCCAAAGAATACAAAAACACTAATTCAAAGGGATATGTGCACCCCTAAATTTATTACAGCATTATTTACAATAGCCAAGATATGGGAGCAGCCCAAGTGTCCATGGATAGATGAATGGATAAAGATGTGGTATATATCTACAATGGAATATTATCAGCCACAAAAAGAATGAAATCTTGTCATTTGCAAGGACATGGATGGAGCTAGAGAGTATAATGCTAAGCAAAATAAGTCAATCAGAGAAAGACAAATACCATATGATTTTACTCATGTGGTATTTAAGAAACAAAACAAAGGAGCAAAGGGGGAAAAAAAAGAGGGACAAATTAAGAAACATACTCTTATAGAGAACAAACTGATGGGAGGGGGGTGGATGGTGGTTGGGTGAAATAGGTGATGGGAACTGAAGAGTGTAGGTGTTGTGGTAAGTACTGAGTGATGTATGCAATTGTTGAATCACTATACTGTACACCTGAAACAAATGTAACACTGTATGTTACTTAACTGGAATTAATAAAAAATAAAAATAAACATACATTAAATTAAAACAAAATAGGGCGCCTGGGTGGCTCAGTCGTTAAGCGTCTGCCTTCGGCCCAGGTCATGATCCCGGGGTCCTGGGATCGAGTCCCGCATCGGGCTCCCTGCTTGGCGGGGAGCCTGCTTCTCCCTCTCCCACTCCCCCTGCTTGTGTTCCTGCTCTCGCTATCTCTCTGTTAAATAAATAAATAAAATCTTAAAAAAAAAAAAAATTAAAACAAAATAAAATAAATACAAAATGAAATGAATTAAATTAAAACAAATAATACAAAAGGAAATGAGATAAACTGTCTATATAACTTTAAAGCAAGATTTACGTCTGTTAAAGAAATTGTTATACATACCTGCTTTGTGATAAGGATAATAATCTATAGTTAGCTGTGTAAAAGACAGTTGCATAGCCCCTCCAGTAATACGTCTATTTGACTCTGGAAAAAGAAAAAAAATGGAATTGAGAGAAAGAGAAAGAAACATTAAGCAAGTATCAGAAACACTTCATTTATCAGACAGTCCAAGCAATGATTAACTGTCTCTCTGTTGTCATAGATAATACATTAAGGATTTCAGGAAATGCAATTCAATCTAATCAGTGTTTATTGAGCTCCCATCATTTGCAAGGTACCAAGCTAAACAGTGAGGATACAAAAAGAGCAGAATTTTTATATTTACAGCCCTAAACATATGCCAAGCATTGTTTTAAATACTTTAAGTATACTTGCTCATTTGCTCTTCCTTACAACCCTGAGATAGATACTACTACTACTACTACTACTACTATTATTATTATCCCCATTTTCTAGATAAGTAAACTGAGACACAAAGATGGTAATTAAATAGACCAAGGTCATACTAGCCAAGAAATATAGAGCTGGTTTTGAACCCAGGAAATATTAACCTCTATATTATATCATCCTATCTCTTACTGAAGGGGAAATTTAGCCTATTGGGTTAGGTAAGTTGTCCAAATTAACACAGCTATATGAAGATTAGAAGTAGATCACAACTCAGTGTGACTCCAACATAAAAATCAAATTTTAAAACAGCATGAATAAATCAACTGGAAGTAAGGAAAATACAAATTAAGATACAACTAAGTACAAATGAACATAATTCATTTCAGACCTTTCTGGATTTTAGAACAGATCTGTATGATGAGGGAAATGTTTTGGTAGAGTTTTCCCCTTAAATAACATAATTCAGCTTGTTCTATGAAGGAATATAAAGAGTGAAAATGTAAAAAAAAGCTTAAAAGAAACTTTTTTTCTATTATTTTGCTTATTACTTAACCTTGACCCCTCATTTTGTTATTTTGGATTATTTTAACTTTTCCATTTTCCTTTCACCTAACTAAAGCAGAAGATGCCAACTTTAAACCAAATGACACAAAGATGGACAAAAGAAAAGAGAACAAATCCTTCTCTAAACTCCAAACTTTCCTCATCTTTTTGTTCCACCCTTTTATCTAGTCAGTGACATCTGGCTGCCTTATCTGATGAAGGCAGGGTAACTTCTGCTATCCAGGATCGTTCTCAATATTTACTCTTTCAGCTTTAAAAATACAGAGCAACAATTTTCACAGATGTACAGACTGTGAATCAGGTCTGAGGTAGAATGGTTAGATATAAATATCCCGGTTTTAAAGAGATCCTCAGCTTGATCCTCAAGCTCACCACAGTCTGAGAACTACTGTCCTAGAAGAAGGCCCACTTGATGAGCCCTCCCAACACTTATGGGCCAGGAACACTCTCCAATGGAGAAACAGAAATGCCTAGTACTTATATTATGGAACCACAGACTTTCAAAGTGACCAAGAGCAGCTTCCCATTTACTCCATTACCTGTGTCTACTAAATAAGGAAAAATAAGAGAAACAAAAGCTAAAAGAAAAAAAACTTACTAACTAGAATTTAGCTTCCTAAGCAAATTTTGGGAGGATTACTGGCGAAGAGACACAAGAAATGGTAAACAGCCACACAGCTGTGTTTACATGTATATGGGGTCAGAAAAATGCAGACAGACCACCATGGGAAAACATGTGTGCAAATAATTATGAATTGAGTATGGACTCAAATTTAATTTATATACAGTTTCAAAATTATGCAAGTCTAATATTTAGGCCTTGATTTTTTTAAAACCTAATTTTACTGGTAGTATCTGGTGAAATACTAGCTAACAAAAAATTGTGCTGAAATACTAAGTACTAAAGCAAAATAAAATTTCATACAAATATATATTGCTTAAAATTACAACTTTCATTTACATACCTCATATTAATGATAAAATTATGGCCAGTTATCATACCGGACATACTATGTATTACATATGATAAACAATCCAGTTTTGTAAGAAATCCTAGAAAAACCAAAATAGTTTGAAATAAGCAGCTTTTATTACCTTTTTCTTTAGCATGAATATCATCACAAATGTGTAGATCTAGATGAGAAATCACCAAGTGATGAGAGGTTTCTTTAACATCAAAGTCATTGAATAGTTTCACAATTGCATCATTTAGATCAGGAGCACTTGAGGTCTGTGGTGTCTTCACTTGTTGGGTAGATGGGGCTACCGCAGAGCTCTAAAAGATTCAAAACTGCCTTATCACTTCATGTTAAATATTTGAAATTCCACAAACAAGAAAACTTAAATATCTTTAGTAATGAAGTCGTGAAAAATAAGCTAATATATTTTGTTTTCTATCAATAACTCAATTCCCCCCAAATATTTTCTGAATTATACAAGAATAAAGTTAAATCTAAAAACTGGAGAATTATACACAATTTGAATATGAGACCAATGTATTTTAATAAATACTTGAATATTTATATATTTATAGTCCTTATTCTAGAAAATATATTTAGTAACTATTAAAGGCAGCTTATTCAAATAGTATCAGTTCTACCTATTAGAAGAGGAACAAGGGCGACTTGGGTGGGTCAGTCAGTGGAGGAGTTTTCCCCTTAAATAACGTAATTCAGTTTATTCTATGAGGGAATATAAAGAGTGAGAAATGTAAAAAAGCTTAGAAGATACTTTTCTCTATTCTTTTGCTTATTACTTAACCTGGATCCCTCATTTTGTTATTTTGGTTTAACATTTCCATTTCTTGGTTTCAGCTCTTGTTTTGATCTCACCTGTTGTGAGATGGAGCCCCGCATCAGGCATGGACTCAGCGGGCAGTCGGCTTGAAGATTCTCTCCCTCTACCCCTCCCCCACCCCGAACAGCCTCACTCACACCCACACACACCCCACTCTCAAATAAATAAATAAATCTTTTTTTAAAAAAAGAGAAACAAATGCGAGCCCTGTATACATCAGCTGTATACACTATTATATAGCCTGTAAAAATAAATCACTTCTTTGTGAAGTGCTTGTGATACACTGTAAGTGCTCTGGTGCCTCTCGTAAGAGATGAGGCACATCCTTTGAACATGGATATCTGAAGAAGCCAGAAATCAGAAGAGATTTATAACAGACTCTGCATTCAAATTCTTTTCTCCCCAAAGTGAAGCATAGAATACTGCTAAAGTATAAAGACTGATGTGAACTTAATAGCCTAAAATGATTCTATATATGTAAGCATACTGTAAGATCATCTGTTACAGGGGCGCCTGGGTGGCTCAGTTGGTTAAGCGACTGCCTTCAGCTCAGGTCATGATCCTGGAGTCCCGGGATCGAGTCCCACATCGGGCTCCCTGCTTAGCAGGGAGTCTGCTTCTCCCTCTGACCCTCCTCCCTCTCGTGCTCTCTCTCATTCTCTCTCTCGCAAAAAAAAAAAAATAAAAATAAAAAAAAAATAAAAATTAAAAAAAAGATCATCTGTTACATAAGCTAAAGAACTGTACATGAAATTTTGATAATAATTAACAAAATGAAGACCAAACTTTTCATTAAAAAATATTAAAAAGTTTCTAATTAAGAACAATTCATTAATAAAAGTATAGTTAGTGATATATGGAAAATTAAAGTATATATATTTTGTATATATACATGTTTATACATTATCTATTAAGAATTATCTGTAAACGAATTTCAAAGTATACTCAGTAAATGAAAATTTCTCAAAGAAAATGATCAAGACCCACAGTAATTAAAGAAAAGGAAAGATGAAATATAACTGTGAAGCCTTAAATTCTAGGGGCTTGAGAAAATTTTTTTTACTAATTGTCGAAGTAACTTCCATAAGACAAATCACTTATTTTTATTTTTACTTTTTTTTTTTAGTAGGTTCCAGGCCCCACATGGAGCCCAACACAGCACTTAAACTCAGGACCCTAAGATCAAGACCTGAGCTGAGCAAGAGTCAGACACTTAACCAACTGATCCACCCAGGCGCCCCAAGGCAAATCACTTATGTTCTTCTACTTTCAAAGCTTTAACAGCCTACTATTTACATCTATGATTGTACTATTTTGAAGGAAAAAATTCTCCTGTATTTCTTTAACCAGGGTTTCTATCTTCTTCATCAACAAAAATACTGATAGAAACAAAACCATAAACATTAATCTCTACAAACCCTTTTCTTAATGTTGTGGTAGATTCAGTTTTTATACGCTGTTTGCGGGGGGTGGGGGGGAAGTGGGCCATTATGAACTCTTTTGCCTTCTGAATAATCTTAACATTTCTTGGTTTTCAGTGTAGTCTTCCCTTTTAGAGAAGGAAAAGATGAAGCTAATCAAATATTTATGAGAGAAGACGTCTCTCAATTTGTACAGCTGAGCAAAGGAACACTATCAACTACTTCACTCTCTCATCCACTCTCTTGGTCCTCAAATCATTAGGACATTCTATATGATACCTAAAGTAGTAATGTGACAACTACCACTCAAGAAAGAAACTCTGTGGTAGTGTGAATGGTTAAGTAAGTCTACTAAGAAATATTAGGGAGCAACCAAAAATAGTAATTACAAAGACTAACAACATGGAAGAAAATTGTATATATCCACTTACTACATACTAAAACTAGGAAAAATGCAGATGCCTAGGCAAAAAGACTGTAAGGAAATAACTCAAAATGCTGACACTGGTTTTATTATGGTGATAGGATTATAGAACTTTATCTTTGTTTCTAGTTTCCTAATTTGTATCTTTATCTGGTTTCCTAATCTATATTCTATATAAATATATCCACATATCTAAATAAGACCTACAGTAACACCAAAACTCTGTCTACTAGCCTTTAATTTCAATTACCATCTCTGTTACTGACATTCTAAGCTACATAAATCCTCATTGTAAACCTTGACAGACTAGTGTTCATGCCTATGATGGTAATACTTAAAATATTACTTCTATTTCATTATGTTCTTTCAACTTCAAAATGGTACTCATTTACTACCTTTTCTTAGCCTTATCTCCCTTCATCAAACCTGCTTCCTTCTACTGCATTCCCTTTACTTACTGGCTACCAATTATCATTTGAAAATCCTCAATTTTCTCTTCTTTATTTTCAACTGAAGAAAGACTCCGGTATCTCTCCCCAGTTTGGCTTGTTGATTTCTTCTTTCAAACCATTTCCAGAGGTTCAAATCTACCCCTTTTTTAGACTGGCAATCTTTTTCTTCTTCAGCCCATCCAGTATAATACCACCAAGCATTATTAGATTTCCTTTCCTACTAAAAACTTCCAGTGGCTTCCACGTGCCTACAGGAAAAAGTCCAAATTCTTCAACATATAACAAATGCCCCTTACATCCAGTCACCACATACGTCTGCCTAAACTTGGGCTACCCACCCAGAAAGACCACTCTGTGTTAATAGTTCAGTGTTCTGTTCATCAAACTTTTAAAATCAGGTTCCCCCAGAGAATTATAAAGATATCTCATTGGATAAATATTATTTATTGGTAGAATGATATAAGGTTTACCATCAATTCCTTATTTCATTTTTACGGCTAAAAGCTCTAGAAAACTATTCATATAAATAGGTAAATTGGAATGAAAATGGCTTTATTTTAGCAAGATGACATGATTCTTTGAATTCCTCCAAATTACATGCCAGGATTCATGAAATGACTTTAAAAAATTATTTTTAATAATCTAATAGCTGATATGTATAGACAGACCCTACTTCAAATGTGTTGAAAACAGGGGTACCTGGGTGACTCAATCAGTTAAGCGTCTGCCTTCGGCTCAGGTCATGATCCTGGAGTCCCGGGATCGAACCCCACATCAAGCCCTGCATCGGGCTCCCCACTCAGCGGGGAGTCTGCTTCTCCCTCTGATCCTCCCCCACGCATGCTCTCCCACTCACTCTCTCTCAAATAAATGAATAAAATCTTTAAAAAAAATTTTTTTAAATGTGTTGAAAGCAAAGAAGTGGAAGTAGAAACCACATGACTTGTTACTTTGTCATTTAGTCATTGACTTCCAAGACGAATAACAGTATTTCAAATTACCTCCATCTTGTCACACCCCAAGCTTTTTTAGTATTTTTCCTCTCTTCTTGGACAAATCCATCATACTAAGAATAATAAGAATTAAGAAGAAGGCCTTTCATTTGTCGAGTAGGATAAGAGTAGTTTGGGAAAGGGAGAATCTGACATTTTAACATAAGCACATTCTCTGGCAGACCAAGTTTAAGAAATAACACATCAAAATGGGGTATGTGTAACCCAATTTCCTTAAAACCTGGAAAGGTGTGTATCTGAGAGGCATGTGTATGTTATTCTCAAAAAGACTTCTCTAGTAACGCCAAACTCATTTTTATCAGAAATACCATGCTCTTTAACAATATACTTGTGCAAAAAACAAAAAACAGAAAACAATATACTTGTGCAGATTCCATTCCCTCATCTGACACATCCTTTCCCTCACCTGTAAACTTCTCATTTTTAAGACTTGGTTTCATTATCCTCTTTGTGAAACCTTTCCAAACTATGCAAGCAGTTGACTACAACTTCTCTATGCTTCTATGTTTCCTTCACTCCTTTATTTGCACTCTAACATTTAAGATGAACTACAATGACTTGTTTTATATTTGACTTCCCATTATACTCTGAGATCCTTGAGGACAGGGTCAGATAATATTCATTTTTACATCTACAGTGTCTAGCCCTGTTCCCTATCACATAGCAGCTAGATAGTACCTAATGCCAATTCAATAGTCATAGGAAAGCTTAAAATGTATGCTACTTCCATGCACCAAGCCAGATCACCAATAAGCCATATATCTGAGATATATTACTCTGTTTCCAAAGAAATAGCTTCAAAGAAATAGGATTTTACAATATCCCTTGTTTTTATTAAGAACAGATACAATGCTAACAGTTTTGTGTTGAACTTCAGCAATTTCCCAGGGTTTTACATCTTCTGTAATATTAATTCTCACATTTCTCCCTTGACTATACCCAAGTTTTTTTCCTTTTGCCCTTACTTTAGTAAGTTTAAGTTGTATTTTACTTCCTGAAAACAGGTATTTATTTTTTATTTATTTTATTTTATTATGTCAGTCACCATACAGTACATCATTAGTTTTTGATGTAGTGTTCCATGATTCATTGTTTGCATATAACACCCAGTGCTCCATGCAGTATGTGCCCTCTCTAATACCCATCACCAGGCTAACCCATCCCCCCACCTCCCTCCCCTCTAGAACCCTCAGTTTGTTTCTCAGAGTCCATAGTCTCTCAAAAATATGGAACGCTTCATGAACTTGCATGTCATCCTTGCACAGGGGCCATGCTAATCTTCTCAGTATCGTTCCAATTTTAGTATATGTGCTACCAAAGCGAGCACGAAAAGAGGTATTTATAACATCAAATACTTTTATGTCATCGTTAACTCTAGTGCCTAGTACAGAATTCCAAACAAAATAAGCATCATATAGTCAGAAACACATTTAATATATGTTTTCATATAGATTCCATGTGTAGAAAATTATGCAGTAAGATATCTAGATAAAAGATTCTTGGACTCAAAGTCTTACAATCTATTTCACATAAAGAAAATAACTAACCATTCTGATTTTTAAACCATTTACATATTAAGTATTTTCCTCTTAAAAGCATACCTGCGTGGGGCGCCTGGGTGGCTCAGTCGTTAAGCGTCTGCCTTCAGCTCAGGTCATGATCCCAGAGTCCTGGGATCAAGCCCCGCATCGGGCTCCCTGCTCTGCGGGAAGCCTGCTTCTCCCTCTCCCACCCCCCCTGCTTGTGTTCCCTCTCTCGCTGTGTCTCTCTCTGTGAAAAAAAAAAAAAAAAAAAAGCATACCTGCGTAGGTTCTGGAGCCATACTCTTCCTTTGTTCTGTTGATTTTTCTATTGCTTCGCTAAGAGATTTTGCATATTGTACCATAGCCTTCAATTGGGAATCCGTTAAAACCCATAATAAGTCATCCAATATTAGAACTAACTTTGTTGCAATAACATTGCAGTCCTTTAACTGTCAGAAAAAATGATTCATAAAATTAAGCCAAGACATAAAACTTACAATGCACTAATGTTTTAAAAATATTTAAAATGTCTGCATGAAATTAAACACAGATCCTTCCTTCATTCACCAATTATTTATTGTGCTCCTATACTATAGAAGGAATATCTCCTTGTATTGGAGATAGAGCGGTAAAAAAGACTGACAAATTCCTGTACCTTAACAGATGCACATTATACAGGTACACGCACTTATATAATTTAATTTTGCACTTATAGCTAATAAATCATAAAATTACCTATATTAATTGTGCTAATTCTAGTACAGAAAGAAGCATTAAAATTATAAACTGAATGCTATTTTAACCACATTTCACAATATTGTATTAAACATTATACTGAAAAAAAATTTTCAATTTAATTTAGAATATTTGTGTCTAGTGATATAAAACATATTGTTGAGACTTTAAAAGTCATTACTCCATTAAATTTCATTACAATCTACAGTGAACTTTCAACTTCTGATATCTTTAAGTAACTATCTTCCCTATTTATCCAAATTAGCATTCATATCTTAATAACCTTTTAAAAGCTAGTTTTGGCTACTGATAATAGAGGTTTTGCTGTTTACATACTCCTAAGTAAGATTCAATAGAAGAAATGAAATTATAAGACAGTTAATGTTCAAAAATATTTGGCAATTGGGGCGCCTGGGTGGCTCAGTTGGTTAAGCAACTGCCTTCGGCTCAGGTCATGATTCTGGAGTCCTGGGATCGAGTCCCACATTGGGCTCCCTGCTCAGCGGGGAGTCTGCTTCTCCCTCTGACCCTCCCCTTCTCATGCTCTCTGTCTCCCATTCTCTCTCTCAGATAAATAAATAAAATCTTTAAATATATATATATATATATATTTGGCAATGGAGAATCTATTAATCAAAAGTAAAAATCTAAGTGTTAAATCCAGAAAATTGAAAAATATTATTACACTAGATTTCTTCAAGTACTGCTTGAGCCACTATATTTCCTTTTATTTTGCTTTGTTTTAATATTCCAAGGTTTCACCTGAAAATTATTTAAAATTTCCTCTCAATTCCACTAGTTATCACACGAACCAAAAAGGTCACCCTGCTGACTTACTCTTCTTTTAAGTGTGACTCTGATTTTTGATTGGTTGGTTATTAATCGAACAGGAGCACACATAATTCCAAGATGTGAACTTTGAGTAGCATCTGCCTCTATTCGAATCATCTGCCAATTTATTTCTTTAAACGTCAAAACCTAAGGAGAACAAAGAGAATAGCTTCAGTTACTCAAGCAAAACAGAACTGAGAGACATGTAGATTTGTAAAAACAACAAAAAGCTAAACAAATAAGCTAAATAAAATTTTATGTCTTTACTAATTTTCTTATGACATTCTAGATATATTCACTATGCTTTTATTTTTTAAATTGTATAGTTACAACAAATTCAGTAACATATCTTCAATTATATTATTTATAAAGCTGTTTATACTTCAATTTTGATATAAAGTACAAAGAGCCTTTGAATCATGTGAACAAAAAAAATGTAAATAACATTTTAGCTTTGTATATTTAAAATTCAATTCTGAGTAGCTGAGAAGTTAAAATGGGGTTCACTAAAAGAAGGGGTTTATTAACTCTATAAATTGAAAGATTACAGTAAAAACACTAAAATATGCACATTTTTAATTAAATAAGAGAAATACAGAGAAAAGTATAGTTAAAAGGTAAGAGTAAATGTAGTATGTAAATCTAGGTAACTATAAGAAGTAAGTATTTTAAAATGTCCTCTTTATTTATCAGTGACTAAAACATTTTTTTAAACAAAGAATGAAAAAAAATGTTTACCTCTCCTCTCTGTGGATGTTGAATACGAGTAAATCTTAAATCTCCATGTTCCCAGTTTGCATTTACGCTATAGATCCTTAGCTGGGAAAGTTCAAAGGATGCATTGAAAGCTTTTGCTCCAATGCGGATAATAATGGAATTTACAGAAACAGTAATTCCCTCAACTACTTTTTCAGCAAAGCCATATTCACTGGAAAAACAAAGCAAAACAAAATATAATGCACTAAAGCCAAAACAAATCATTAAAAGGTTATCTGTTAATATTCTCACACAAGTGCACAAACTGACCATTATATTATTCATTTTTATGTAAAAAATTTCTTGGTTAAAACAATAATCTAGGCTGATTACATGTAAATTATAAAAATGTTCTTCTCAAAATGATAAAAGATTTTTAAAGTTTAAGGTTACTCTTTATTTTGTAAGTTTTTAATTTTATTTCCAGTATAGTTAATATACAGTAATATATTACTTTCAGGTATGCAATAGTAACCTAACAATTCTATACACTATTTAGTGCTCATCGGAAGTGTACTCTTTGATCTCCATCATCTATTTCACCCACCCCTCCCCTCTGGTACCCATTAGTTTGTTCTCTATACTTAAGAGTCTGTTTCTTGGTTTGTTTCTCTTTTTTTCCCTTTGCTCGTTTGTTTTGTTTCTTAAATTCCAAAATCATACAGTATTTGTCTTTCTCTGACTGACCTATCTTGCTTAGTACTATACGCTCTAGACCTATCATGTTGTTCCAAATGGCAAGATTTCATTCTTTTTTAATGGCTGAGTAATACTGCATTGTAGATATATACCACTTTTTCTTTATGCATTCATCAATCGACGGATACTTGGGCTGCTCCCATATCTTGGCTATTATAAATAATGCCGTAATAAGCATAGGGGTGCGTGTATCCTTTCTAATTGGTGTTGTTGCATTCTTTGGTGCAATTCAGTAGTATTCAGTGTTGTTGCACTCAGTAGTACAATTACTGGATTGTAGGGGTAGTTCTATTTCTAATTTTTTGAGGAACCTCCATACTGTTTTCCACAGTGGCTATACCAGTTTGCATTCCCACCAACAGTGCACAAGTGTTCCTTTACCCCACATCCTCACTAATACTTGTTCCTTGTGGTTTTGATTGAAGCCATTTTGATAAGTGTGAGTGAAGGTTACTCTTTATTTTTTTTGAGAGAGAGAGAAAAAGAGAGAGGGCCCGTGTGCATGAGCAGGGGGAGGGGCAGAGGGAGAGAGAATCTTAAGCAAGTGTCACACCCAGCAAGGAGACCGATGCGAGGCTCCATCTCATGACCTTGAGATCATGACCTGAGAGGAGATCAAGAGTTGGACACTTAATCAACTGAGCGACCCAGTCCCCCCTGAAAGGTTACTCTTCAAATTAGGTTATTATATATAATCACTATCCAAAACTGCCTATTCTCAAGTTGCCAGATGTTCAAACAACTGGAATCTACAAAGTAAATAAGAAAGCTAAATTCCTGACACAAAGAAGGCTACAGACTATAACTACAATATAATCTCAAATTTAGGAATAAAGTCAGAAAAAGTTCATATTCTCTAATCCAATTCAGCAAATATTTATTGAGCATCTACCATGTGCACAATGCTGGGACATAAGGAAAACTGAAATATAGTTGTGGTATTCTAGGGCTCGCAAGTTACTTGGAGAGGAAAAACATAGGAACTGAAACATTAGGCAGTCTGTAATTAAGTGCTTTAAAAAAGGAATCATCATTACACTTGGTAGAGGAAGAAATTGTTCATAACTAAGGAAATCTATCTAGGAAAGAAAAATATATTTCCTACAGTGAGTGATAGGAAGAAGGGAAATCTTATATTAGGGAAAAGTACAAGGAAAGGCACAGAAAAGTAGGAAAGTAGAGGTCATATTTTGAGAATAATGAGTAGTACAGTATGACTGGAATATAGACTACCAATATATTTTGGCAGGAAGGGTAATAAAAGTTTGTCCACATAACACATTACTTCAATTATTATCACTATGACCATTATTCCTAAATCTCTATCCAGATTTCTCCCTAGAACTTCAGAGTGTTAAAATTCAAATGTCCACCAGCTATTTCCACGAGGCTGACTCCCATACATTTCAAAGCCAACATATATAAAAGTGAACCCATCATTTTTATTGATCATGTACATCCCTCTCCTATACCTGCTGCTAAGCGTCTTGATTTACTATCTTACTGAATAAATTACCTAAGCTTCCTAATCCTCAGATGACCTATCTTTTAAATCAGGTAATACTTTGCAAGTTACATATGGGTTGCATGCAATAATGCATATGAACCAAACAGTCTATCTCTTGATTCATGATACTTTATGAAATGTAACTATTATTTACAATATTATGGAAAACTAAAGAGGAAGAACTCATCAGCATCCTAGGGAGAAGCTGCTTTAATCCCAAGGACAAATACTTGGTCACTTGGCTAGAAATATTCCTGGAGTTGGAAAGAATATATTATTCTATAATTATTATCTGGCAATGCCCTTTGGAATATCCAACCCCATCTGTTCTAACTTGTGCATTAAAAAAAAAAGTGTTACAACTGAATTGGAATATTTACCACCAGACGGGTGAAGCCTGAATCAATGATTAAAGTCTACAAGTTTCTGGCTATGTCATCCATTATAAATTAAAAAGGTGAAATTCCAGTATTCAAACAAGTCTCTTCTAAGTTTGATTAATCTTCACAAAGATGTAGATCTCCTCTATATGAAGTGATAAAATTTCTGAACTTACAAATTTACTAGATCATTAATCTATGGGAACATAATCAACTCACAGGTGTGGCACAGAAGGTAAGGCCAGCCTGTTAAATATTCATTTCCCTGTATTTTAATCTCATAGAGACAAAATCATATTGATCAGTGTTTCTCCAAGTTGTATAAGTATAAAGAATTGTTAAAAATACATAATCACATTCTTGATAACCATTCTAGACCTCAAGAATCATAATTTCAAAAAAAGGGACCTAAAAGAATATAGATTTAATAAGCATCCTAAGTGAATGCTATAATCAGGCAAGTCTGGAAAATGTGGAAATAGGTTAACCATACTGCCATACATAAAAATATAAGGATTATCATCATATGATTACAAAGCCAAAATTATAAAGCTTATTGATACTATAAAAACATGAGTTAAGAAGAACATTATCAACAACAGCAATTTTCCTGATCTTCTTTTCTACTTTCAATAATCTTATAAACACCTCTACTTTTTCTCCAATTTTTTGGACTCTATCCAACATGACCAACTGCTCCAATCTACTCTATCACACATGAAATCATAATTTAAACTTTAAAATCTCAAATTGCTGGATGATGTATAAACTACAAAGAAGTTAATGTGAAAGCTCTTTTCCCAGTCACTATTACCTGTAGGCCAAATATAAACTGTACACCTGATAAACCTGGCCTTCAGTCAACTCTTAGCAGTGGACTGATGGATCACCATCAGATTCCTATGTGGAGTGTTACTGATCAGGCTATAGGTATTCTCACAGAAAGCACTAATGTAAAGGTAGTTCAACCTTGGTGAAAGAGGAAGGTAGAAATGCATGAGTGTGTGTGTCTGTGTATCTGATGTGTACGTTCATTCTCTTTTTATTTTTTTAAAGATTTTATTTTTAAGTAATCTCTATACCCAACATGGGGCTCAAACTTACAATTCCAAGATCAACAGCCACATGCTCTACCAACTGAGCCAGCCAGGCACCCCATGTACGTTCATTCCAAAGAAGAGTTTTATCATTGGTTTGACATAGCACCCGAATTCTATAAAATGTTCAGGGCTGCTGCGTTCTACAACTTGAGGAGGCACTAATCACATTAAAATCTATGTGAACATTTTACATGAATAGGTGCACAAAAATTAGTGCAGAAATCCTGCCTTAAGAAAATGATACATAGTATGAAAGCCAAATGTAATGGACGCAATAATAAACAGGCAATTTTTTAAAGATCCATTTTTTAAGGGGCGTCTGGGTGGCTCAGTTGGTTAAGTGTCTGACTTCACCTCAGGTCATGATCTTGGAGTCCTGGGATCCAGCACTACATCAGGCTTCCCACTCAGCAGGAAGTCTGCTTGTCCCTCTGCCCCTCCTCCTGCTTGTGCCCTCACGCTCACTCTCTCAAATATATAAATAAAATCTTTAAAAAAAAATCTATTTTTTTAACATCTAACTTTTTAAGACTTTGCAAAATGGCCCCCAAGCTTCTACTTTATTAGCACCTGATTTTATCTATGAAAATCCAATTTATATAAAGTGTGAACATTCTATATTTCATGAATTTTAGAGTAACCCAAAAGGCCTATAATTTTTTAGGACATCAACTTAACCCTTAAGAGTCATAAAAGTTCCACTGATGCATAGAATAAATGAGAGGCAAAGAAACTATTCAGAGACTAAGATATTATCTGATTTATAGGATGTTTTTGGTTGATCATTACTATTTAATATCAAGGAAAGCAAGATGAATAAAAGAGGCTAAAAATCAATTCTACAACTTTGGCAACATAATACCAAAACTGCAAGATATGATGGGGAAAGGTGACTGAAATAGAAACTGTCTGAGGTTAGGAAATTTTATTTTATGTTCCATTACTACAGATAACAGAGCTGACTACAGAAAAGAACTCCCTTTGCAAGTCATGCAGATTAAAGGAAATAGCTTACCTTTGTCCTGAAGCAGTTGCAATTGGTGATGGGCCATTAGGATTTCGTGGTTCTTCACATGTACTCATTTCCATTATTACTTTATCCAAGGACTAATAAAAATACATTAAAAATTTAAAAATTAGGTATTTTATGAAAATATCATGTAACACTATTTTCTCTTTCTTTAGGAACAACGTAAACAGTAAGTAAGCGGAGTTACTTTAAATGTCTCTCTAAAAGTCTAAAAAGACAAATACCAAAACAGAAAATGTGCTCAGTCCTTTCTCAAGGCATCTGATAAAAAAGCTGTGGGCATCTAGGAGTATGAGACAAAAATACTACAAGTAGCCATATGCTGCTGAAATCATCAGATTTTACAGAAGCCCAATCTCTAATTCCAGAATGTATGATATTATTAATTGCTAAATGAGATTATATATTAATGAATGGGATTTAAGTAGCTGTGAAAGCTTATCCCAATCTAAGACTTGAGATTTAAGACACGCAACACTGAAAAATATGAAATATGCAAGAAATGTGAAAAAATAAACATTGCCATAATGAAAAAATGTCTTTCAAGCTAATAGTTTTGCTTGAAGATCAAATGTTCTTAGTAGTCATCACTAACACAACTCAGTCATTCTTCATTCTCTATTTTAATATAGCATTTATTATCCGAAATTGTCTTGTTTACTTGTTTGTTGTTGGTCTCCTCTATAAAAATATTAAGTTCCCTCAGGGCACAGGGAGGGTACTCAATAAATATATGTGGAATGAATGAATCAATAAATGACCAAATGACCAATCTTTCTTCAATTTTCCATAAAAAGGAAAGTAGGAGGCTCAGTTGGTTAAGCATCTGCCTTCGCCTCTCAGGTCATGATCCCAGGGTCCTGAGATCAAGCCCCTCTGGGCTCCCTGCTCAGCGGGGAGTTGGCTTATCCCTCTCCCTCTACCCCTTCCCACCCCACTCTTGTGTATGTGTGTGTGCTCTCTCTCAAATAAATAAATAATAAAATCTTAAAAAAAAAAAAGGAAAGTATATTCAGGTGCATATTATTTAATTTAGTAGATCAATAAAATCAGAAACACAGTTTGAATTAAATGTTACTAAAACTGTCATAGTATGTCAATAAAGAGCTAAATGATACAATAAAAATATAACAACTTAGAACATAATACATCTGAAAAATTTTAAAGGACCCTCCCATTTTAAACTCAAACTTCTCATTTAAGGGCTGAAAAAACTAAGTACCATCCAAATAAAATGAAAGCCAATCTGTAGAAAAGCCAGAAGACCGTGTTTCTATGAAACAAAAGATTAATATTAGCAGAATAGTTAGATCATATGCATATATAAATGTTTATTTCTGAGGCAAGTCAGAACTCACCAAACAGATGGGATGTGTTTTCAATTTTGTCCATGGAATCTAACAAAAAAAACAAATTTTTTTTCTTTAAAATCAATCATTAAAAAATAATTTAAAACAGCAATCAACACAGATTTGCTCTAAATATAGTGATAGACATACCAAATTCTATCAGATGACTTTTTCTCAAATTGCAAAGTAATAAACTGAGCAACTCACTTAGACTCTTGAAATTAGATGTACCTATTTTATATAAGAAAAGACTACTAATCATATTTTCTTAGTTATCTTTTAAAATAAGAATTTTAGGTCCTCATAAGTTTCTTTTTTCCCAGACCTTAAAACACATTTTAACTTCATCATTGATTGATTTAATTTTAAGTAGGCTCCATGCCCAACGTGGGGCTTGAAGTCACGACCCTAAGATTAAGAGTCACATGCTCTTCTGGTTGAGCCAGCCAGGCACCTCTTTAACTTTGTAATTTAAACTAAGATTTTCCAGCAGAGCATAACCAGTCTTTTATTCATTGAACAGTTTTTTAAATTCTAAAATTCTGACCATGGGATGCCTGGCTGGCTCAGTCTTGGAAGAACATGTGACTCTTGCTCTCAAGGTCATGACTTTAAGCCCCATGTGTGGAGATTACTTAAAAATAAAATCTTTAGAAAAAAATTTTTTTAATAAAATAAAATTCTGACCAATCTTTTTGTAGATATTCAAGAAAAACACAAAGGTGAGGGCACTCAGGTAAATGTAGGCAGTATCAAATAATAATGTTCAAACATACACTAAAAAGTCACATCTTTATAGATATTTGGGTTAAAGGTCACCATTGAACAATATAGGAACTTTTCTACAATCTTTTCTTTGGAGTCTAATTTTAATTTTATGAAACAGATTACTCAGGCAGTATTTCTACTGAGCAGACTCTCAAAAAAACTGGTCTTTAAGAGCAAGAAGTGATATGACATACAATAAGAGTCAAAGGTATGCAGGAATAAATTTTAATAAGGAGGAATAATAATAATAAAAGAAAACTTAAAAATCCTTGAGGAAGAAACAAATGAGGAAAAGAAATAAAATTTCAAATAAAAGTACAATGTACAGAATAAGGTAAGGACTGATGTTTTCATGTCTTTATTTGAAATCATGTTTACTTACTACAAATTTAAATTGTCCCTATTAACAATAAATCTTATGAAAAACTATCTTTGAATATATGCCAAATTTAACCAATTATTTTATTAATAACTACCAATACTTTATTTAAATGTTAAAATTAAACTTTAAACAAAAATTAAACTATAAATTAATAATATATTAGCATATGACTTCAATTAAATTTATCTGGCACATATTCATGCAATTACTTAAACATAGGTATTTGTCTTTTTAAATTGTTAATGAAAATGTTTTTTTATAGAACTATCTAAACTAAAACAAAATATTTATTTTAAGAGATAGGAATGAAATAAAAAATGAAAACAGAAAATGCTTTGCACAGATATCAAAGTCTCACCCTAATAGATGCTTTATTACAAAAAACTTTGTTGATAGCAAGCCATGTTGGCAAATCCAACATATTCTGGAGCACCTCTTCATCCAACTCCAAATTCTTCAGTTCACCTTCTCCTTTGAGGGTACTTAGATTTATCTTGTCAGGAGATAAATTTTTAGTAAATCTGAAAGAGAATATATATTGACATTCATTTTAGTGTCAGTTACTGTACCCTAGTCATTCTTGCAAATATACAAAGCATTAAAAATAATAGCAGCACAAAGAAACACAAAACTTCAGTGACAGGCTCTACTTTAATCCATGTTTTTCAATGAGGTTTTGTTATTGTTTTGATCTCTCTCTTATCCATAGCTCTCTTATACAAAGCCTACAGTGTTTTTAGCATATATTTGAATATCATATTTCTACATACATAAAATTCTGGTTCCTACTGTCTTTCAAATTAATGAATATTTAAGTAACATCCACTTTTCACCAGGTACTATGCAAGGCAGTAGGGATAACTCAAGGCCATCCCATAACCACATGTTGTTCACTTTGCTACAGACCACATCACAGAAAGGAATATTCCTATTTTACTAACCAACCTACAAGGAAGGTTAAGGGAATAAGGGGACCCTTTAGAAGTAGCAATAGCAGCTGCTACCCATTCATCATCCCAAGAACAATATCAAAGGATATTAGTACTCCTTTTTAGAATCATCCAGAGATTCCCAGCTTCAGAAACTGACCCAGATCATTCAGGAATAGAGTACACAAATCTTTTTCTAAAAGGTCTCTGAGGAAAGGGATTATGCAACTCTACTTGGCAGCCAATTTTGGTGTTTTCTACATGAGACTTAAAAATACCAATTACTTATAATCCTAAATTGGCTGTACAAATACCATTTATCCTTTCTGTAGGAGTTAAGATAAATGAAGTAGTAAAGTGCTTAGTAAAAGTGCCAAAAGTCACATGGGAGACTAGATCCTAAATTCTAATTAAAGAACACAGATTCTCTATGATGAATTAAAAATGAAAATTCTTAAACTTAAGAAAAAAGACTGGAAATAACAATAATAGTTAAAACAATACTGGACGTTTTCCAAGGGTTTACTGTGTACCAGGTTCTTTGCACGTAAGCATTACTACTTCATTTAATTCCTACGATAAACCATTAAGGTCAATACTATTTTTATTCCCACTGATTTGATAAGTAAACATAATGAGAAACTAACTTACTTGCCCAATATCACAACTAATAAAGATAACAGTAATAACAATAAATTATACATATACATTAAAGTACTTCCATATACATCACTTTATTTGATCCTTACAACAACCCTAGTTTGTCTCTTTTGCAGCCATTACTGAAGCAACAGCAGCCAAAATGAAGTTCAATCCCTTCGTGACTTCTAACGAGAGCAAGAACCATAAAAGACATTTCAATGCACCTTCCCACGTTCACAGAAAGATTATGTCTTCTTCCCCTCTTTCCAAAGAGCTGAGACAGAAGTACAATGTTCAATCCATGCTAATCCAAAAGGAGAATGAAGAACAGGTTGTGCAAGGACACTACAAAGGTCAGCAGATTGGCAAAGTAGTCCGGGTTTACAGGAAGAAATACATCATCTACACTGAATGAGTATAGTGAGAGAAGGTGAATAGCACAACTGTCCATGTGGCCATTCACCCTAGCGAGGTGGTTATCACTGGACCAAAAGTGTACGAAGACTACAAAAAGATCCTTGAACATAAAGCCAAAACTTGCCAGGTAGGAAAAGAAAGGGTAAATATAAGAAAGAAACAATTGAGAAGATGCACAAATAAAGTAATGTTATATATGACTTGAAATAAAAACTGTTCAAATGAAAACTATAAATAAATAAAACAACCCTAAAAAAAATGAAAAACTGCTAACTTTGCCCAGGAAGTACTTTTTTCAAAAATGAAACTACTGACAAAATTAACTACCAGCTAGGGGCGCCTGAGTGGCTCAGTCGTTAAGCGTCTGCCTTCGGCTCGGGTCATGATCCCAGGGTCCTGGGATCGAGCCCCGCGTCGGGCTCCCTGCTCAGCGGGAAGCCTGCTCCTCCCTCTCCCACTCCCCCTGCTTGTGTTCCCTCTCTTGCTGTGTCTCTGTCAAATAAATAAAATCTTTAAAAAAAAAAAAAATTAACTACCGGCTAACAAGAGTTATCAGCCAGTCTTTTACCTTTTTTGAAACTAATTATTAAAGTAACAAAATAAACTGGTTATTCACATGCCCTACACATCAACAAGAATATCAATAAATACACACATGCTTCATTTCATGCTTCCCACTGACTCTGCACCAGAGTTTCTTGAGCCATATTTTATCGGGATTCATATCGTCTCACAGAATGTCAGCTGAGAAATACAGAATTCACATTTAACCCATATTTGACCAGTGATGCTGGGTTGTATTATACTGACCACCAATCATGTTTGGTTTAATACTGTGATGTTTCCTGACAGGCTTTCACCCCTAATCATATAGGAATGACCTGCCACTACCTCAAGGCAGATTATTAGAGCTAGAAGGGAGCATTCACTAAGTACTTACTGAGAATTCACTATTCAGACACATACACTGACAAGCAATACACTCAAGGAGTCCCTGCCTTTGTGCATTTCTTAGTTCTGTTGGTAGACAGAACACCAAAAACCATGACTAAGAGAGAATACAGTACAGGGTTTTAATCTAGAGCTTCATTGAAAACAGGGCCTTTTGAGATGATATTTGAGAATGAGTAGTAGAACTTAACTAGGCAAGGAAAAGAAGGGAGACAGAAGAAAGAGTATTCCAAGCAGAGGGAATAAAACACAAAGAAAGGTTCTCAGGCTGGTATAAAATAGAACTGCAAGAGGACCAAGAGAGTAGAAGATAGATCAGAAAGGGCAAAGGGACTGATTCTACAAGGCCTTGACCATTTCATTCAATCATTCATTTAGTAAATCCTAATTGATACCTATAAATTAACAAACAATGGAGATATGACAATGAACAAAACATAAAAAATCTGCCTTCATGGGACTTAAAGGGACAGAATTCTGTGGAGAACGAAAAAATAAGTTAAATACATAGTAAGTCAGATTCTGACTATGGAGGGGAAAAAAACCAAAATAGTAAGATAGCAGGAATAAGCAGAGAACCTTTTAATTTTTAAAAGGATGGACAGGAAAACACTCAGTGAAAAGATGACATTCGGGCAAAGATCTGAAGGAAGTGAAGGAGGTAGCTATACAAATATCTACAGGAAGAATGCTCTAGGCCAAGGAAAAGCAAGGGTAAAAACCTGAGGTGGGAAAATGCTTGGCATGTCTGAGGAATAGCAAGAAGGTCAATGTGGCTGGAGAAAGGGAGCAGAAAGGCAAGAGTAAAAGGAAATGAGTTAAGTTAGAGAAATAAGAGGGGCCAGATCACACGGAACCTTTAAAACCACTCTGAGGACTCTGGCTTTTACTCTGAGTAAAAATGAGAGTGAGTGAAGATGGTTTTGACTAGAATAGGAAATCTTTTTTTTTTTTTTAAAGATTTATTCATTTTTTATTTGAGGGGGAGAGAGAGAGTGAGTGTGTACACGAGCACAGGGAGAGAGACTCTCTCTGCAGACTCCACGCTGTGTGTGGAGCCCAACACAGGGTTTGATCTCAAGACCCTGATATCATGACCTGAGCTGAAATCAAGAGTCAGACGCTCAACCAACTCAGCCACACAGGTGCCCCTGGAAACTTTAATTTTCAAAGGTTCACTCCATTGAGAATATATGAAAGGGAGGACGTGGACAGAAGCAGGCGGCCCAGACAGGAAGTTACTGCAATAATCCAGGTAAGAGAAGAGCTGCCCTGGATCAAGATGGAAGAGTAAAAAGTGATAGAAAAGTCGAGAGAGATTCTGAAAGTAAAGCCAACAGGATTTGATTGTACAGAATGACGTCAAGGATGACTTCCAAGGTTTTTAGTCTGAGTATACGGAAGGATAGAGTTACCATTTATCAGGGTTAAGAAACAGAGGGAGAAATAAGTTTGGGATTAAGGATCAGAATTTAGGCTTTGAATAGTTTAATTAAGAGATGCCCATTAGATACCCAATAAGAGATGCCAATTACGTAAATATTCAAATCTCATTCAGTAGCTGCAGATACAAATTTGGTGATCACCAATGTTAGAGATGGTATCTATAGTTGCAAGATGGAGACAGAAAATTAAATGGCTCAAGGACTGTGGTCAGAGACCACTAAGAAGCCAAGAAATGTGAAAGAAACCAATAAAGGAGATTACAAAAGAAGAACCAGTAAGGCAAGAGAGAAACGAGGTTGCTTTAGAGTTTTGTTTTCTTTATTAAGGTAAGAGAACTCAGCAAGCTTATATGTTGGTGACAATGATGCAGAAAAAAGAAAACTACTGATGGTACAGTAAGGACAGACAACTGCTAGAGCAAAATCCATGATTAGAAGGCAGCAGATACAGTATACACGAGGAGGGGGTGGCCTTGAATAGCTCTGACATTGGAAAGCATGTTAATACTCTATATATGTAAAAATAAAATGAGAAAGAACGAGAAGAGGGGAAGCACCTAAAGCTGAAATCAACCTGAAACAACCTAAATATATTTCAAAAATACTATAAGCATATTTATTTATTTATTTATTATTATTTTTTTTGTTAAAGATTTTATTTATTTATCTGAGAGAGAGAATGGGAGACAGAGAGCATGAGAGGGAAGAGGGTCAGAGGGATAAGCAGACCCCCCGCTGAGCAGGAAGCCCGATGTGGGACTCGATTCCGGGACTCCAGGATCATGACCTGAGCCGAAGGCAGTCGCTTAACCAACTGAGCCACCCAGGCGCCCCACTATAAGCATATTTAAAGGGAAGAGGAAGAGAGGAAGGACAGACAGAGGGACAGATGGGCAAAGACTAATCGGAGTAACCAACATTTGACTATATATCCTTAGTGCTGGGCAAGAAGGGATGTAAGGGTGTGTGTGTGTGCATATGGGAGGGGTTAGTGAAGAAACCAAGCAACATCTTGACCGGGTATGTACAAGAATGTTCATCTCAATGACATTTACAAAGGGAAAAAAGTGAAAGCACTTAAATGTCCAAAGGGAAATAATCTCTTTAATTATATCATGCTACATACATATCAAGTAA